TCACTTCGTTTACCTCATTTACCTCTTTTACTTCATTTACTTTGTTTTGTTATATAAGACATTTGTTACTTCTTCACGGAAATGGATAATGTAATTTTCTTTTTTTTCCTCAATACATATTTCATAATTTCATATTAGTTTTATATAATTCCACTTTATATTAGTTTTGTAATTTGTTTTAATATAGAATTTATGTTTTAAGTGGGATTTTGTTGACCTGGGACCTTACTTTGGGTTGCAAGGTAATTAAAGAAACCTGGCGCCTATTTTTGTTTAATCCACAGCCACCTGGGTCCAAACTGAGATACACCCACGGGCTACCAACCCAGGCAGCAAACCCATTAGTTGCGGAAATGTTATCGTGGTAACAGGTACGAGTACGAAGTCACCACCTGGAAGCAATCCAAGGCTAGGAATCTTCACTCCTTTGATTTGGTAAATGTCTAGGATACTTCTGAAGTCTCTGGTAACGCGATAAGACCTCGAGGATCCTGATCTTTCCTGGACTGATCTGGAACCATTAGTGGACACGTTTTAACCATTCGGGGGGGGCGGAAAGGGGGGATTGTAAAAAAATATTCCACAACGAATTGTGTGCAGGTTTCAGGGGGTCCTTAATGTACAGCGAAATAACATTTCTCTATAATTCGACTGATCGCTCGGCCCCAGAGACAGAATATATACTTATACATGTGTTTTGAGTAGAAAATAATATCCATAACGATTTTTTTTTGTGTAAATAAAAGCCTCAGAAACTACCTATTTTTTTATATATTTTTTTTAACGATAGTGGAAGAATATTTGGTTACAATCAAATAAAATAATAAATGGATCATTATTTGAATAGTGCTTTATGTTATTAATTTATTGTCTACCAACTGGATAAAATATATTGTATATTGCATTTCCATCAATTTTTCTAATGAACCTTGTTCTTACAATCCTCTTTTTTCTTGATTAATGATGCATGTCTTTATTATTTATTGTTCTATAGCGGCACTCACAAAAGAAGATAACATGGAATTAGGTTAAGAGTTCAGGATTAATTTTTAACCGATACCGACTTTTATGTTCTAGCAGACTAGTTTTTTTCAATTGAATAATGGAACTTACATTAGGGTCGGTTATAGTTAATAACCCCCAATTTTTCTTGCAAGGTAGGTAATGAGAAATTTGATACGTTCAACGCAATTTATGACTTACCAACATATCGACTTTGAGATAATGGTGTTATGATGAGATTTCTGCCATCATACATACATTATTAACTAAAGGGAGCTTACTATATTTTTTTCAAGTAAATATTTTTCTGTTTACACGTTTTTCTTTTGTAAAATCCAATCGTTTCATAGCAAACTAGGAAAAGGAATGACTGGAGAACTGGAAAATTTGTTTCAGATTAATTGGAATAATTAATATTCAGAAATTTCTACATGTTTAATACTGTCTAGAAATAGTGAAAAATATAGATAACGTGCTTAAAAAGCTGATGCTACTTCTTGTGCTATGCATTTGTTTATCATGTGTTTTGTTAGGGATGAGCTGGGGACAGTTCACGATATAAACTCTCAAAACTAATTGTTTTAAGTAACCATCACTACCATCAGTCATTTGGATCAAGGAATAATTTAACATCATGTAAATTCTTTGTTGAATCGTTGATAAAATGTGGCAAATATTAACCTCATGTAATTTGGTGAGCTTCGCAATTTTTCACCTCAACGGTTTTTTTAGCGTCAGTAATTTTCCTTAAATTGAACGTAAATTTTCGCGCTCTGAAGTTCCTAACCTCACGTAATTTTTTTGTCTGGACAAGTTTCACTTCACACCAGTTCTTTTTTTGTTTTTATAAATCTTTGCTAGTTTTTTTACATGTAAATATTTTGTTGATTAATGTTTTGCTATATAAAATTTCACGAGAGTGTATGCCGAATTCATAATATTGGTTATTAATCTTTTTGAAACTTTAACACTTCTCCGGTTGTAGTTTAATATCAGAGTTATACAGGGTGTTATTGAAAGGTACGTACAACAAAATTGGCAGTTCTTCGCGAAGCCTAAGAAGTCTGAAAATCTTATTTTGTGTTATCAAAATTATAAGGGGAAAATTAACCCTTATCCAACCTTTTTAGACGCTACTGAAGGATAAATAGGTAAAATTAATTTATTTTAGTGAATCCTAGCAACTGTAACAATAAAACTTTTGTCAAGACTAAATGTTGCCATAGAAACGAGAGATGATCTTTTTATCAGAGGCGTACAACAAATTTGGACATAAATTGTCATAATTTTTATCTCTAAAAGGAGAACACTTTTACCTGAACTTTTTTTAACTTTTGGCACCCATACCTCGAGACCAATTGTGGATTTTATTTTGTACGTACCTTTCAATAACACGCTGTATAAATTGAACATGTAAATAGAATTGGCGTAAATAACACAGGAATACGTGGCGGTACCGGAGTGCGCGGTTCCTAGTCGAGCTGGCATTCGCACTATCTGCACGAAAGATGCGGATCTTTTATAGAAGTCAGGGGAGCGGTCGGGATGATGTGACGCTGTCAGCTTATCTATAGCCGTGATTTCCAACCAGGAGTTTGCGACCGTAACGGCCTGTTAGCATGGCAAGTTGCCGATAGAATAGTGCTACAACGCCCCCTATGGGTAATTTTGCTGTGCTGTAGAATGAAATTGATATACATAGTTCGATTGCCACACTCTTATAGCGTTCTGGTCTCGCTGTCGCTCTGCGGCTGCATAGAATTTTATTAAAATTTTGTTCTCTTGTTGATGGGTATAATTTTAAATTTGCTGCCACACGCCTGTAATAACTTGTGTACTTGCATCCAGTTACTTTAAATCAGATTTTTCTTTGTTCTTCATAAAATTTGTGATATTCAAATATTTGCATTGATTCTGAACGTTTAATTTGATTCCAATCCAAGTTAGACAATTTTTTTTTGTAGCTGAGAACTAAGGTCTTTAACCTGCGCAACTTAGTCGCAGCTTTTTTTTTCTTTTTTTTTTTGTTAGTGGAGGAATAAACGTAATAAACCTGAATGCATTTTGTTAGACGATCATAGCCAAGGCAAATTTTTTTAATTTTTCGCGGGCACAATAGACATATTATAAGCACAATTTTTTAAATATTTTGTGCATTAAATAAGAATATTTTTCCGGAAAATGTCCCTTTTATGGAGGAACTAATCAAAAGGGGTTCAATCACTGAAACGACATTAAACGTTTAATAAGGATTATCTCCATTAACTTAATACATGTGACTAAATTTTGCGTATGTAATAATTCTAATCTAAATAAACGTTCTGGTACGTATGTCCGTAAGTACAACAGTTACTTACAATGAGTCGTATCTACCCCTATTATTCAACTACCCATTAAGAAAAAAACCAAAAAAAAAAAAAAAGAAAATAAAATGCATACCTTAGCTAGCTATTTTGCGAAGGCAGGGTAAATCCTATAATATGCGGCGTAAAGATGTGGTGTATTATAACTTCAATAGAGTAAATCATTAACAAGGGTGACAGACTACGACGAGAAACTTTAATTCCGCTGTCGTTACGTCCTCTGTAGCACGTTCATATTTAAATTTGCGCAACAGCACCGTAATAACTAATGACTAAGAAAACTGTAATAAAGATCGATTTTCTATAAACTGCTCAGAATTATAATGGTGAGATTCATTTACAACTCTTGGCTGTTTGATAAATCGAACCTTTGTTCCTTACAGGTAAGCAATCGGAGTCAGTGCTGTAAATTCTCATTTCCGTAATCCTAAGCGGGTTAATGCTGACCTCTAATTGTCAGATAGTCAGTGTTCACTATTTAACGGACTCTACTTTATCGTCGAGATACATTACTAAAGGTCTACACACAATCCAAGAAATAAGAAATAAAAATTTTCAGCAGGTGTAAAGGGGTGTAACAACCCACAATATAGAAATAAGGAACAAGGAATACAACAAAGTATATTTCTTATTGCTTATTCCTTACTTCTGGCACTGTATTTGGACCTTAACAAGTAACAAAAATGTTGCGAGACATACGAGGCAACGCGCCAAATTTAAATGTCAGTGGCAATAATTTTCCAACTCTAAATAAGTGACGCCGTGGCTAGTCCCGACTAATGAGTACAGGGAGGTATAGTTGGTTGACTATACACTGCAGACAACGGTGTATCCACTTCCCAGCATAATTTAATTTGAATCCGGAAACTACAATAACGAAATTTGATCCACTAACAATGTGGTGACGTTTTAACTGAATTTTAGTCTAAACTGTACTGAGAAGTATGTAGTGTGATATTCACATTTTTAATGATAGTATATAGATTTTCACAAAGTTGAAGCTTTCAAAATTTTGGAAAGCACTGACTTTTTGATTACAAAACATCTTTGGTTTTATGGACCAGACACTTCTTCACATTTTTTTTTTATTGAACTACGTTGCTTATTAAGACCTTAATAAATCTTATTGAAAAGGTCTATTGCATTTTTTTGCAGTCAACAACTTTTGATGCAAAAATAAGGTCAAATTATATGTAACAGCCTTTTTCAGGGGCTTCAGCCAAACGACTATTGGATTATCGCCAATAGTATTACGTCGAGTCACAACACAGTTAAAAAAAGGTTTTCCACGTCTTCCGTGTTTTCTCATTCAACAACGTCGTTCCCCTGTCATTCAAGTTCTAGAACTTTTTTCTGAACTGCATTCTGAATTTTCTTTCAACATTCTTTGTACAGATATACACTCCATTAAGCTACGAAACTAATTCTGTGTTCCCTTCCCCCAAACAGCCTGTATTGGATTTCTGCCCGATCCATTACCCTGGCATAACCAACAAGAATAAACGCCCAAAGATCTACCTGCACAAACTCTAAATAAATCGGCTTTCGCCACTGAATAAACTAACAAGTACGACTTCACGAATCACGTTTTAAGTTTCCTAATGCATATTTTTCGTCACATAAATGAACCGTAAATATAAAATCAAAATTTATTTCGAAAACATGAAAAAAAAGTACAAACTTTTTCTACTTCTAATTGGTACATTTATTCTATACTCACTACTTTTTATTTTGATTATTATTATAGAAACCTCAAGTAGCACTGAGTAATATCAATAACAAGCAGTTATCATTTCTACAAATATGTAAATTTGTAAAGTACAACAGGAAAATAGAATCTGGCTATCATCTTCGGTTGCCATAGAAAAATATAGTTATTATCAGAAAAACCATAAAAATTGAGATGCGACATTTCAAAGGCATGAGTACACAGCAACAAAGTTTTAAATTATCAAATTTGGTAACTAAATATCAAATTCTATATCACACAAAAACTTAATGTGCACATTTTACATCAACATGAATACAACAGCTGCCATAATCACGCCAAGGAATGTGTAAGTAAGTTTGGGCGCCGAGTTACACTTGTCGCTGTCGCAAGGGTAACAGTTCATATCCTTGATGTCACCCTCCACACTGCTGAAGAAGCTCAGAGCCTTAGCAATGCTGCTACAAGCTCCGCCTGTATGGGGCATGCAGCCTCTAGCTATATGCTCGTTACCATCTTTGTCTGCAAAGAAAAAAACAATTAGATTATACTAAGAAAACTGAATCAAGATTGAGTTTAGTAAAGTAGTTCTAATTTATAGTGAGTGAAGACAGTCAACTGGTGTGTTGGATCTTAAAACGTGGAAAGTTACATAAACAGTATTTAAATCTTACATTTTTATGTATTGTTCGAACAATTTTTTTGTATGCTAATAAAATTTCATAGCTTGTGAGTGATGTTTAGGCCAACACAGGTGGTAACAGACGAGGGGTATCATTTTGAAATATTTACGTTAAGTGTCAAGGTTGTGTCTGCAAAAGAGATTCACTCGTCTGAATACTGACCAAACTACTTTCATGTCGAAACTAAACTACTTCTACACATACAAATACGATCAACAAATGAATATTTCATCAGTTCATCACTGTATATGATCCTTACACATGTTTCAATTAAGTTCATTACGGAGTCGTCAAATCCGCATTTGTTCGGTGTTTGACGACTGCCAAGTTTAGGCCGAAGCCTAAAAATAAGGGACTTTGGTTCTTTGACTCTGAGGTTGCAAAATTTTATTAATATACCTATAGATGCATGTGTTTTATTGATTCGTATAGTTGTGTGTAACTGACATTTCCGAATTGTCAACTGTCGTCGACTAAATATTAAATTCATTGTAGACATCCATGTTTACGAAAAATCAAGGCCAATTTGATGAATTTTTCAACTGAACACCCCGTACTAATTTTAATACTAATTTATGCACCACAATTTTAAAACTGAGAGAATATTCATTCGAAACAATCTTTTCATCTAAATCAGAATCCTTGAAAACTCAACGAATGAATGTTTTTAAGAGCCACGCAAACCTGAAATCTGTTTTTGTGATTTTCCTCCGATCTGTTGATTTTGGGGGTTTTGCAAGGGTCAGGGTTAAGGTTTGTTATTTTTCTTATCTATCGTAATGATGTAAAATAAATATATTGCGTTCAGTTTTAATAGTTCCTGGATGAAATCACTTCCACTGAATAAAACATATTGCTCATTTCATGACTTCTTAACTGATAATTAACTGATAACTTCTGACTATATGTTTTTCGAAATTTATTAATTATTATACGTGAAATACAAATAGAAACATTATTTGTCTGTAAGTCCTTTCAAAAAATGATGACCCTGTTCAGAGAAAAGTTGTGTACTGTGCGTTTTTTGATTAAAGATCCACCGGCAATTAACCTAGAAAATATACGTGACCACATGCAAAGCTAAAGGTCGCAACAAAACACTGAAATCCACTTTTTATATATAAATAAAATCGCAATTTCTTCATTTCGTGTGATTTCAATATACATTATTTACATGGTGCAGTTACATATAGAATTTATTATTAAAAATATAATATATACTGGGTGAGTCACCAAGCACGCGGTCCTCCACAGTTTTCTTTTGAAATTCTGATGTGCCGTTGATAAATAAAGGTACGCACTTTGTTGTGGTATCAACTAAATCAATTTTAATATACACAGTGTTTATAAAAAAAATAATTTTAGACACTAATAAATGACAGACCTGACCTCTACTCCAATTTTCACAACAAACTCCAATTCGTTCTATTTTTGACGGTATTAATTAAATTTGACACGGTCCACAATAGAGCAGATAACAAACAATACGTGGGATGTTATTAATCTAATGCTATTTTAGTGTTTAATTTTGCATACATACTATCTGTTTTTCTATCTAGGCGAAAAGTTTGTTGGCAAATTCACCAAAATATTTCTTGGCAGAATCGAAACTTTGAATAATGAAAGCTTTTTAGACCAACAAATTGGAAAGTTAGATTTTATTAAAGCAGAAACTAAGCTGTACCTAACTGTTTATTAATCTGTTCCTGTTTTATGCTTTTTATCTCAGGAATGAAATCAAGGTTAAATTTAATGACAATTAAGCTGCAATTAATTCTCTATTGTGTTGTTTTTAACGAACAGAGTTTTAATTCCTGCTTGTGTTATATAATTGATCACAAGTACGGATGTTACAATATTTTTCACACGTCATTTGAAATTTCGGTCATTAAAATTCTTGACACTTGAAAAGTCGAACTACTTAGTAATTTCAACATTCTTAACACATTTCAGTTAAATTGAATAGGTATTTACAAGTTGCAGGTGTTTGCTCTGACACATACTTCACCCAGTGGTACCACACGAGTACCCCAATAGACCAATATCAATTGTAACGGTCATTTACAGTGATGATGTAGTTGTTTAAAATACTCATTCATTATCTCATTTAGCTCTTTATGTATGCTAATTCCCCGATAAACCCATGACTTCAGACCTCCGTCTCGTCATAATCCGATTCGGTTTCAATTCTCACCTTGAGCAACCAACTTGACACACTGCTTAGGAATCCAACTGGTGAGAGCACCACCACCGAATTCTTCATTACAATCAACAGTGTTATACGTGAAGCTGCTGATGCCGTAACTGCAAAGTTTGTTTTCGCTGGAATCGCATTTGTAGCAAGTCAGGGCCAGTGCTGCAAAAAAATAAATATTAAATATGAGACGAAACATAAAACCTGCTCACAAACGATGGTTACTTAATGATACGTATTACGAGCTTCATAATGTTTTCATGATTTTATTATATCGTGCACTTAATTTAGTGGTTTTGGGGTGAGTGAACCAAGATCGATGGCACCCTATCGAAAATCTAATTTAGAATTGGGGTTTTTTATTATAAATGTATGTGGGGTGAATGTATTTACGGTGAGGAGTCAGCATTTAACAGCGTTGTAACCTGATTGTGGCCCAAACATTGCAATTTATATCGCAATAAAGAAAAGTGAGTCAGGGTTTAGGTTGGCAAATGCAAGACCAAACTTGGCCTTCGTTTTAATTTAAATTTCGTCGATAGTATCAAAAAAGTTATATAATTATTTTAATAATTCATTAGTGTTGTTAGTTGGTATCATTGTTAGTTCGAAGTTTGGGTGGAAAAAAACTGCTTTAATGATGGACAGATGAGAATTGATTATATCAAGAGTGGTTTTGTGGTGATGGCACCAGCCTGTGCCACAACTCCTGAACTCCTTTCACGTGACTTTGTTGTTTGCTAGTTCGCTATTACGCGAGTTAGTTTAACAAAGCACAAATTTCAGATTCGATAATTAAAGACAGTAAAACGTGATCATCAAAGCTTGTGAGGAGTACAGCTGTAGATTTAAAAAACTCTTGGTAAACTTTAGCGGTGTAAAAAGTTTAAGGCAGCTACCAAAACTAAATAAATGAATTTTAAGTACTTTTTGTCTAACGATTTTTTTTTAACGATAAACAAAACTATTACTGGTTAGTGGCTTGCAATAAAAGTAGACATAAAAACTGCGATAACACAGGTGTATTTGTTTCCAATGAAGCTAAATGAGGAAGTTTTTGCAGGACTTATAAATGAATTACTACTCAACCGAAGATGATTTTTCTCGGTAGTGCATAAAACTCGAACAACGCACTAAATAAAAGTCGTTTATTTGATGGCGACGACAGAAATAGAAGGAAGTCTTTCACAATCCTAGTAACAAACATACAAGTACGCATGTCAGAAAATTAATAAGAATTAAATTTAAACAATAGAATGCGTCGGTTCTTTTGCAATGTTAATTAACCTTAAAGTAGGAACCATACAGGAAGTAACGTCCACTTCAAACAGGAATCACATTCCGGTTACGTCTGCTGATAAGTGAAAGGGAAAAACCATACAAAAAAAACCTCCAAAATGAGAACTTTTTCGTGAGATAGTGACAGCATATTTGTGAACTATTGTACAAAGTAAAGTTAAAAGAACTATAAAGTGATTTATTTGTTATTAATTCGTACACCAAGTAGATATTAACGCGGGAACAGTAATTATAGTTTTGGTTTTGCAATAATGACAGAGTAAATCGTGTGGATGATACGATATTCTATGAACAGATTCTAAAAGGTTCACAAGCATACTTACTTAAACAAAGCCATTACGCGCCATTCATTGTTTTATAACCTGAATTGTAACACTTAACGTTAGATCAAACTGTGAGGTTCGCGTATAATGAATTACCATTCTCTGAATTGTTCATAAACAGGTTTTGAAATAGTATATTAAAGAACGAGTTTCATAAGGCAAATATTGAGGCACGAACCCAAGTTTATAGAACGAGCGGCGAAGCCGCGAGTTATATAAAGGATGAGTGCCTCAATGGCCTTATGAACGAGTTATTTATACTATTTTTTCTACCGCACACGTTTTTTCCCAAAATTTAATTGAAATTTGCATTTTTTTTAATCTGGGGACTTTTGTCGTGGTTGGTGATGGGTCGGTCTGACGCTAACCACGATATATTTGAGGTTCTAATTTTCACAACAATAATTGTAATTCAAACCAATTCGAGTTTTTGTAATTTAAAATTGGTTAAAATGTCTTGCGAAGAAGTTACCCGTCCGGAAACATGAGAAATTTTAAGTTTAGATTTGCCACTGACATTCACCTGACATTTCTCGTCATTGCTACCAATCTTACCGATCTAAATTACACCAGATCTATTAAAGAACGCCTTTCCGCTATTAACGAACTGCTGTGACGTCATTTGCGTGCGTTAATAGCTCTATTAGAAAACCAAAAAACGTGGGCGGTAGAAAAAGAAATATTTTTACCTTGCAGACTTAATTCATTGTGGATGAGAAAGTTAAAAAGCAGTAAAGCCGTGCTTTGTAAGAACATGCGCTGTACCTTTTAGAAGTGCGAAGACTTAACAATGAAAGACTCGGTGGTTTAAAATAGCATGAAACAGTTTCGTTAGTTGGCGTTTTTAAAATTCAAGGTCATAGACTACTAAATCTCATCCGTTTAAATAATGCTTCCCATTAAGGAAGTAAGTAAAAATGTTACAGAATGCAGGAAAATGAAACGAATAAAATCTAAATGTTGTTATATACAATTTATGGCACAAAAGTACTTTGACTTGGTGCTTATTGGAATAACTGAAAAAAAAATGCTCGAAGAACTTCCCTCGCCCACAACTGGTCCAACATTTTAGAAAATTTATAAAATTTGGTTTTCAAAATAAAGATAAATGTGTAGTAAAGGTAGTAAGCTATTCGTATGTTTCAAGTTAATTTTTCCCTTTCACAGTTTTGTGATGACGTCATCAACATTCTAGAAGGTCGAATTGTTAGTATCAATATTTTCAAAATTCCTAAAAAAACAAAAATATCACCTATTGGTAACAAAAAAAAGTCACACATTTCAAACTCGAGAAATGGTTTGTAATTCGTGTGCACGAAAGTATTTCTTAAAACTGCTTTAAATTATTCCTAATAATTAAGTTTATGGAAAAAACTGATACTAAAAGTTCAATTTATAAATATCTGTATTTCAATATAGTATCTACTATATTCCCACATTTTATAAAAATTAACTAACAACAACCATACATATTCTTCCAAGAAACCAATTCGGAACAGGAAGTGGGCACAGCCAAAGATCACGATTATTTGCTATTGTATCTGCTTGTTTGATAACAAGCCCAAGAAAAAACGAGATGTTCAAACTACAGTTCAACAATAAAAAATATATATATTGTGAGCGTCAAAGTTTAAGATTTAAAAAGCCGCTTATACTACTTAATATAAAAGGTGATCATTCAATTTGGATTTTTTTTGCGAAAATTTGGGCGTTTAGGGGAAAATCTCAAAGCAGATCTGTACACCACAAGTGTGTAAAATTTAAACCATTTTAATATACATAGAATCTTTTGAGACAACGTCGTGAAATTCTTGGTGGGGATGACGTTTCACAATATACATGATATTCCTAATATACATACAAAATTTGACCATTATGTGTCTAATAAAAATTGACTACAGACGACAGATATGAAACGTCGAGAAAACATGAAAGTACCAAATCTCCCGGACTCGACTTTCGCTTACGCTCGGGTAAGTAAAAATGGTTCCATATCAGGATTAAAATCCTTGCCTTTAATGGAAAGGTATGTATAAAATATCTGGATTAGGTAATATGGCAGTGATTAATTTACTCTTATCTATAAAAAGTTTTATCAACGTATTTGTTTAATACATAAATAAACGTAAAGTTTAATTTCCAAATCTTTGTTTACATATATAATGTTCCTTAAATTTTCCTTACTTGCGTCATTTTATTTTCGGCATCTGTATTATTTTCTGCAGTTTTGAGAATACACTAGTGTCTTTATGACATTTCCTACACTCCACAGATACAAAAATTCGTCGAAAGTTATTTCGACAAAATTGAAAAATAAACTGACACATTCGTCAATTTTTTGTATCCTGTATAAAGGAATTCTAAAAAAATATGAATGCAATAATAAATCACAATATAGACTCCTATTTTGCACACTTTAGATCGGTTTATTTGGCAAAATGTTGAGATGACGTTATCAATTGGGGGGGGGAGCGGGTGTAAACAAATATATTTTGATTACAAATTTTCCATGCTTACGACAACTTTGAAACGCTTGCAAAATTTCAAAGCATTCGATTTCGCAGATTCAAAATTAAATTGCAAAATGTCGTTATACACTTTTGATTTGTTTTTCCAAAAAGCTGGATGTCTCGGGTAAAAACTCAACGCGGACTCATAAACAACATGTGTAGGAATATGTTATTTTCTAAGATTTAAGATACATTTACTATGAACAACTTTGAGGTGACGTCATCATATTTTTGGTGGGGATGATTACAGAAAGTTTGGCTAGCGTTTTACGATATACATGGTATTCATAATACGCGTATAAAATTTGACAATAATCCGTCCAGTAGTTTCGGAGATTATCCGTCTTAACCAAATTTTGACACAGACAGGCAGACGGAAATGGGGAAACCCATCGACAAAATATGAAAGTAGCCAGTCGCCTGATGGACCGGATTATAATACTTTAGCTTACGCTCGGTAAGTAAAAAATAAGCAGTATCAATATTGCAACATTTCTATCGTCAGTCATCAGGTAATGAAATAGCATTTTTTGTTAAATTAGCTCATTTTTGTTTTTACTAAACCTATCGTGATCACCTAATACTATTTACATTAATTTACTAACTTATATTGAAATTACGAAAAAAGATTGAGTATATTGCAAAATACTTTGATTATTATCATTATAGTTTTATTGCTGGCAACGTGAGGGTGAATCGTGGTAACAAAATCTGACTCAGCCTGAATACATAGATAAACCACGACTCCGACGAGAGATAAATACGATCATCATTCTGTCTCTGATATCAAAATAATTCACCCTTTATCACACATCCTGTCAGTATTGTTTTCCTGAAATTGGTATTCGTCCCTTTCGTGATATTGTTAATTTTCCAAACAAATACATACTCGTAGTACTATTCCCTGTATATGTAGTCTCTTAGCAACAAACTGTATTACAATGAGATAGCGAATTCACTAAAACATGCCAAAACAAAGTTTTTATTCGTAGAATAAAAACAGCAAGATTTACCTTCCTCATTTTGATCTAAGTACATTCATTTCAGTGCATACATTCATTCAACCAATGCAATGTAATGAAAAATAAAATCCTTACAACTAAAACAATTCTGAAAAATGAGGGATACAAAAACGAAAAAACACAGAACAACCAATAACTTCCTTCTAAAAAATGACCAGAAAAAACATTTCCTTACACTGAATAGATAAGTTTCACTCAAATTACAACCTTATCATTTTTAAATATGTATTGACTGATTTTTTTTAAATAAATTTAAACTAATCACTTCCTTCCACAATCTCGATAAAAAAAGCAAAAATAACCCTTCATGGTGCTTCTGGCGAACAAGAAAAACAAGAAAAATGTGTTCACTCACTTTTGGTAACGTGTTACACTATTGTGTAATTCCGTACATATTTAAGTTATAAAACTGCCGTTTGCATACCATAAAACCAATATTGTTATCGCAGTCTGAAAAACTATCTTACAAATATTTGACATGTAAATGAATAAAGAATTAGTTAACATATTAGTCGGTCATTTCCATTTTGCCCCCAATTCTTTTTTGTGTTAAGTACTCGTAAAACACTTTACCAAAGATTACCAAACCGTCATAACCCAAACAAAAGGTATAATATACCAATGAATCTGTACCGGAAAGTTTTATTTCTCGTATGCGAAACCGCAAGCACAGATTTCCACCCATCCTGAACTGTGACTCCCCCATGTTCCCCCTTTACAAAGAAATTAACACAATATTTTTAGCTCATATCACAACAAATTCATTAATAACAACCAACAAATTTAAAAAATTACCTGTACTGATGGCCAGCATGAAAGCAAGCACTTGCACAATTTTCGCAGCCATTCTTTGTTATTTAGCAACAACGCCCGTTACACTTATCGACCAAACACCACACTCTTCCGACTGCCAGAGAGGGACTAAGAGACTGAGACTGTGCAACGGTCGGAGTTGGAGGGTTCCACGACTGTTTTATCGCAAAATGCAAGCCAAACAACAGCCGTAGCCGGAACAATTCGGCTCAAAGCCGCCAGAGACTGCCGCTTTTTGAACTCTAAAAGGTGTGAAGTGATTTTGATGCTTAGCTGACAGAATCTCTAGTAGCACTATGATGACTGGACGTGATTTTTACAATACCGCAAGTGAGATCGAAAGTGGTTGATTACGATCGACTGGATATTGCCGTCTTTCTCGTGATACTAGGTTTTCGCGTTTCGCCCTTCGTGAAGGGCTGCTGCACGTTGCGCCGCGCCGGGATGCTGCGTTCTGCGTCGCTTCGCAGTTGCTCTTGTGGAGATTCTTTTTATTTTACGCAAGATGGCCAGCGGTTATTGAACGAAAAATTTATAAGGTTGGTTTATCGCAGACGGTGGCGTCAGACACCCCTGCGGTTTATGGTAGGGTTACTGAGTCGTAACATTATTAACGGGGTTTGAGCGCTGGGGGCATTGGCTGCGAAACTGGAGGGGCGATAGGGCTCTCACTTTAATTTAAATTTGCCGTTTGTCTACTCTAGATTTTTGTAAGTCGGTGTTTTGACTTTTTTTCTATTTGTTTTCTGTGTTTTAATTGTTGTTTAATATTTCATATTATATTAATTGTTTCCATTATATTATCCTTTTGAATAATGCTCGTTGGAAAAATAATTTAGTATTATTATTACTATTTTAAGAACCACCACTGAACCGGAAATAATTGGCGTTCAGCCAGGACTTCTATCATTACCGGTACTAAGACCAAGTATGGTATAAGTAATGATATGCTTTGTTTAGATCAATAAAAAACTTTTGGGATGCTAGCATCACAGCATAAAAATTCATCTGCTATTATTCTCTAATCTTATCCCATCCTCAAGAGCCCAGAATAACTACCGATCATTTATCCGCGGTACTAACCTATTCTGTATAACATGACCAGACTGTTCGAGAAGTTATAAACAATATGAAAAGTAGCTTTTTATATTTTGACAATTATTGAATAATTTAAGTGTAAATATTTCAACTAAACTATTTGGTACATGCTACATGCATTGGAGTTAACTAAAGGTAGGACTGAAATTTTCTCACGATATGTTGATAATAATAATTGTATGGCTCAGATAAAACTTGTTCTATCTTATGCACTTTGTGCGTCATCGGAATTATTTGTCAAACAAAATCTTTGGTTTATTTAACGTTTTGCCACTCTACTTAATTTTGAACAATGAAGCGATTTAGTGATCTAAACAAAACAAGTTACATTAAATGTGTTGGATTATCTAGAAAAAAAGAAAACATGATGTTAGGCAGTTTAAGAGAAAAAGTGCAATTTACCGCAGTAGACTTATGGTGTTTATTTTAGTTTTGATAAGTACAGTATACTTAATATTTCTGCTTTATTTGTAGAAAGAAATTCATCGAAAGAGTTGGACACAAAAATGGTGGTATGGTTAAATACAAAAAATATAGATTATCATGAAAAAGCGATGAAAGGTCAGATTTGGAATATGTGTGCAATAGACTTCGCGAAAAATTGTATCATTTAGATCACTCTGCTCAAGAACATGGATACCGTGTCCTAAGACTTCCGCCACACCACGATCATTTTAATGCAATTGAAATGGTATGGTCGTAATGTACACGAAAGTACGATAAAAGTATTCCAAAAACAAATGTTTCTTCTGTTGATGTACTGAAAACTTGGGAAAATGTAATAAACCAAGTTCCCTATACACACTGGGAATTAGTAATTTACGCAACTAGTTCGGGATAGCCTGCTTCCCGCATGAACGCTTGTTTGAGGCACGACCGAAGGGAGTGCCGCATTTGCGTGAATGCGGGAAGCAGGCTCACGAACGTGTTGTGTACAATATTTTTTGCGACGAATAAACCTTTAAACTGAAGAGATTAACTGTGAGTTATTTATAAACAACGCCATTGACAGCGCCGTCAGCACGTCACAATGTTGACACTACCCGAGTATTTTAAGGTTACCATGGCAACGGGAAGTTAAATGCACGTGTGCGGGAAGTTCGACCTCCCGCACTCTGGTGAATGCGCGAAAGTCATCAAAAAAGGTCATGAGTGCAAAAAATTATATTAACCACACGGAAAAAATCATAGATGACGACGCCACAGTTTGCCCGATAACCGTAACTAATTATTGCTGTTTTTCTAATCGGAAATATGCTAATTTTCGAGTTTTCGACTGACACCAACACGTTATTATTGTTTGTAAATTCACAATTCATGTTAGGATTTTAATCGTTAGTGGTTCCAACACAATTTAACAGTCATGAGATTGTTCAGATAAAGCACTTGCTAGGAGATTTTATGAAATTCACTTAGTCAGGACTCATCCTTTGTTTATCAAGTTATAAATAAGGTTTCTGGATGCTTATACTTAAGTTTTACATTATAACACTTCTTAATTCGTCACACAAGATCGCTAATAGTTTATTTACGGTAGTTAAATCAACTTAACGTTGTTCCAGTCTGGGAAAAGGACCGTGAAAAGTGCACTTGAATTCATAATATCTGGTACGTCTCACTTTACGGTTATTACACCCTACCGGTCCAACGACCTTGAAGGGTACTTTTCCTGTATTGTAAATAGTGTAAATAAAGACAGTTCAGCACCAACCCTCGTCTGATTCACACCACCACCCGCGCGACATAACCATTTGGTCCTTCGAGCCGGATTAAGTTGTCGAACAGAACAACATTACATAACATAGTAATAATCATTACAAAGTCGCCGGAATAGCGGGCAGTGTAATCAGTGAATCTGAGGTGGTCCACGAACCACAGCATATTAAGAACGTGTCAACTGAGGCACGTCAATCACCATTCTTGAACTACCAGCAGTCTTCTACAAGGGCTCACATATCAACGGCGTCAACAGCTGATCACAAGGAGTACAGCAGAAAAGGTCAGATCTTTCCATTTCATATCCTGTTTCCACCCCGTCTCTGTTGTTTGCGGAGGTTTGTGCATTTGTTTTTGAGGTCTTTAAATTTCAAGTATGACAAAGGCAAAAGACATAGCTGCTTATAAACATGAAAGAACCCAAATTATTAACCGTTTGCAACGCATTCAAGCGTTTGCTAATAATGTTGGTGAAAATATAAATAACAGTTTAATTAAGGCGAGACATACGGTTGCAATTGACGCGTTCAGGGAATTTTCTGAGGTTCAGTCGTGTATAGAACAGGGTGCTGCAAATGCAACAGAGCTAGCAGAGGAGGCAGACAAAAGGGTCGATTTTGAAGATCTATATTACGAGACGGTCGCTGCAATAGAATCATTATTAACACGGCATACCGCGAATACGGAAAAAAATGGTTCCACGGTAACTCCACCGTCTAACACTAATGATCAAACAAAAATAAAATTGCCGGTACTAACATTACCAGAATTTAGTGGCTCGTTTTCAGAATGGCTGGCTTTTAAGGACACTTTTAAGTCAGTTATTCACGAGAATACAACGCTAAGCAATGTAGAAAAAATGCATCGCTTGGATGTACAGGTTTATTAACAATTGTAGAGTTAAAAACAGAAGATTATCTATAAGTTTAGATGATGCGCAATCCTCTAAGAGTAATCATATTCTCGCATTGACAATCAATGAATTACAGCATGCACATGATGTATTAATTAAGCTAGTACAAAACGAGACTTTCTCGCAGGAATTAAATTTGTTGAATTCTAATCAAGACATAAATAAGTCGAGTAAACTACTGAATCTAAGTCCTTTTATTGATATGCAAGGCATAATTAGAGTAGGGGGTAGGTTACGGAATGCGAATTTATCATTTGATAAAAAACACCCAATAATCTTGCCAAAAAATCACCCTCTAACAAAAATGATAATTCGGCATTTTCACATAGTAAATTTGCATGCTGGGGCTCAGGCAACTCTTGCCGCTATTCGTCATTCTTATTGGATAATAGCTGGGCGTAACACAATACGATCCGTTTTACACAAGTGCATTACCTGCTTTCGAGCAAAACCCACAATAGCGCACCAAAAGATGGGTGATCTGCCAGAACCACGTCTTGAGCCTGTACGTCCGTTTTTTAAAACAGGTGTGGATTATTGTGGACCCATTTTTATTAAAGAAAGCCGAGGCCGCGGTAAAGGTAGTACCAAGGCAGTACACCTAGAGTTGGTAAGTGACTTGACGTCCGAAGGTTTCTTGAACGCACTTAGGCGTTTTATGTCTCGTAGAGGTCAAGTAAAAGAGTTGCATTCGGACAATGCTACAAATTTTGTCGGTAGTAAAAATCAGTTAAAAGAGTTAAGGGACATTTTAAAAAATGATATCAGTAAGAGTACCATTATTAACCATTTGGCAAATCAAAACATTAAATGGTGTTTTATTCCGTCGAGAACGCCAAATTTCGGTGGCATTTGGGAGGCCAATATTAAAATAGTAAAATCTCACATGAAAAGTGTTATTGGTGAACAAATTTTGACCTTCGAAGAAATGCACACGTTTCTGACAAGAATAGAGGCTTGCCTCAATTCCCGTCCACTAACCCCTCTTTCCTCTGATCCCAACGACCTCGAAGCTCTAACTCCGGGCCACTTTTTAATTGGAGAAGCGTTGACGGCGCCGGTAGAGATCAACCTAGACGACGTCAGACTCAATCGCTTGAGTCGTTGGCAAATGGTGGAGAAGATGAGGCAGCACTTCTGGAAACGATGGTCCCGAGAATACGTTGTCCAACTACAACAGCGCAACAAATGGAAGATTGAGACAGCGGCGGTCCAACCTGGAGCTATGGTACTGCTCGTTGAAGACGGCCTTCCCCCGTTGCATTGGCCACTCGGTCGCATCCAGGAGGTGCACCACGGCAACGATGGTCTTGTGCGTGTAGTTACGGTCAAAACGAACAAGGGACTGTATAAACGCGGCATTAGCAAAATTTGCGTAGTGCCCATGGACGATGACAAAAACATGTGAAGGTGCGTTCCAGAAAAATAAGTCTGCGGACTTAACAAGTGAAAGTGCGTTCCAGAAAAATAAGTCTGCGGACTTAACAAGTAAAGGTGCGGTCCTGAAAAATAAGTTTGCGGACTATTTTAAGGTGCGACCCGAACAAATTAAGTTTTACTTTTTTTGAGGTTCAACAAAAATTGTTTGGAACAATCAATTTATATTAGTAATTAAATGAAGTGTAATCATAATTAAAATTATTTCCGTTATTGTTATCATATTACTATTAGCGTTTTTTAATCCACATTGATATTGTTACTCATATTTAAGATATACTTGTGTTCGTATTACATATTAGTTGCATAGTTTGTATACAAATTTGAGTCCATTAGGACGTCAAGGGGGGCGGCGATGGTACGTCTCACTTTACGGTTATTACACCCTACCGGTCCAACGACCTTGAAGGGTACTTTTCCTGTATTGTAAATAGTGTAAATAAAGACAGTTCAGCACCAACCCTCGTCTGATTCACACCACCACCCGCGCGACATAACCAATATCGTAGACTGAGGGACGAAGGGATTAGTGTTTCCCCCTTAGACAGTTATCATCATCTGGACATCATCGAGACTTATTTCTCCCGACGTGGGAAATTATATCACCGCGACGAGGGACGCATTTTGTGTTTATTTATCATGTGTTTGTTTGGGATAACCTGGGGGCAATTCATGATATCAGCTGTCAAAGCTAACTGTTTTAAGTAACCAGTTACTTGGATCAAGGCATAATTTAACATTATGTAAACATTAACATATGAAATTGTTTGAATCGTTGATAAAGTATGGCATATATTAAACTCAAGTAATTTTGTTAACTTTGCAATTTTTCTCCATCTCACAATTTTATCTTCAGTAATTTTCTTTGTCGTATAATTTAAATTGAACGTAAATTTTCATGCTCTGTAGTTCCAAACCCCACGTATTTTTTCTTCTGCATAAGTTTTACTTCACACCATATCTTTTTTTGTTTTTATAAACCTTTGCTAGTTTTTTTCACCACGTTAATATTTTGTTGATTAATGACTTCCATCATATAAATTGTCTGATGTCCAAACTTAATCTCAGATAAGAATTCTTTGTTGTTTCAAGTTTCACGAGAGTGTATGGCGAATTTAAAGGTTGTGTATTGCTCTTTTGAGACTTTAACACTCGTTCGGTTGTAGTTTAATATCAGAGTCATAGAAATTGAACATTCAAATGGAATTGAGGTAAACAACACAGAAACACGTGGCGGAAGCGGAGTGCGCGGTTCCTTGTCGAGCTGGCAGTCGCGCCATCTGCACAAACGACGCAGTTCTTGAATAGAAAACAGGGGAGTAGTCGGGATGTCGTGACGCTCACGCCTTATCAATATACGGGATTTCCAACCACGAGTTTGCGAGCGTATCGGCCTGCTACCGCGGCACGTTTCTTCGTTAGATAGAGGGGTGCTGGGCGGCATGTGCTTGCCGGTAAAATAGAATCACTGTCGTGGGGGGAGAACAGCCACAACCAGGAGCCCCAAACTCTGCTCGTGCTACAACGCCATCTATGGGTAATTTTGCTATGCTCTAAAATGAAATTGATATAGTTCGATCGCCACACTCTAATGGCGCCCTGGTGTCGCTGTTGGCTGTTGCTGTGGGCCCCGCTGTAGTTTTATGAAAATTTTGTTCCCTTGTTGACTGCCATAATTTCAACTTGCCGCCACACGTCCTTAATAACTTGCGTGTTTGCATCCAGTTACTTTACTTCAGATTTTTTTCTTTGTTTTTATTAAATTTGTGATATTCAAATATTTGCGTTGATTCAGAACGTTTAATTTTATTTCATTCAAAGTTAGGCAAGTTTTTTTTGTAGCTGAGAATTAAGAAGGTCTTCAACCTGCACAACTTAGTCGCAACTTTTTTTTGTCAGTGGAGGAATAAACGTTTTGTGCCCTCCACATATTTTGCGTTTTAGTTAGCGGTACTTTTCCAATCTTGGGGTCCACCATTTACATCTGAACGTATTCCACCACAAAAAAAACAAACATAATGTAGGGTTCCATTTTGTTAGACCATCACTGCCAAATTTTTAAATTTTTGAAATTTTTGCAGACTTTTCAATTTTTTTTTCACATGTTAATTTAAGGCGGGATGTTTGGGTTATCACAAAACTTAGAACAGAATTAGATTCTACAATATCGGATGGGAGCGAATTCCAACACTGAAAAAGTCGATTCGATATAAAATATTGTGTTACTGTAGTCCGAAACCTGCCGCTTAGCAATTTTAGGTAATGCGCTCTAGTTTTACTCGAAGTATTGAAGAGAAATAGATGTCTAATAGGTGACTTAGGGTCTTTGAGAAACCGAAATGTGAGAATTAGGTCTCATCTTTTTCGTCGCTCCGAAAATGGCGTCAGAACTATTAACAATAATTTGTCTTAATATTGTGGCCGAACTCGACCAAACGGTATTCTAGTGGCTCGCCTTTGTGCAGATTCTAAGAAGTGAATATCGTATCGGGGGTCCAGACAGGATTGGCAAATTCGAGAATCGACCTGACAAATAAGACTTGTAAAGTCTACTGACGATATTTACGTCGCTTCTGACAAACGTTTTGCTTAATAAGAAAGTCATTCTATTTGCCCTTTTAACAGTATGCGCTATATGTGCCGACCATGAGAGATTCGAGGTGACAAGTACTCCTAGATCTAAGTATGTTCAGATTTGCTCAGTTCAACGACATTTATCAAATACGTATGTTTCAAATTTGTGTTCTCAATATATATACAAATCCGAACACTTAGAAATACATATTTAGTGGAATTAACCATTAACCAATCAGAACTTGAATCACTGACTGCTAAAAGGTCAATATGTTTGAATTACTGCCAACATTATATAGTTTAATGTCATCCGCATACCTACATGGCAAATGGGGACTTAATAATTTTCTTTAAATCCTCGGCATAAATTATAAACAGTAGTGGTCTGAGGACGAACCCCTGCGGTACCCACTCAAAACTTCCATCCAATTTCTCAAAGCACCCTCAACTTTAACTTTAAACCTACGTTTAGATAGCAAAGCATCAATCCTCTGAAGAAGAAGTCCCCTAATACCCATAATGTTAGAGTTTTAACAAGAAGTGACGTTTTGGCACACGATCAAACGCTCTAGAAAGATTTAGATAGATAACGTCGACTGAATTCCCAAATCAAATTTCTTGTCCAGTTAGTCAGATAGCACAGGAGATTAGAGATGGTGGATTTACATGAAATAAAACCGTGCTGTTCTGCAGGAATAAGTTGCTGGTCTGCAAGAAATTGCATTAAGCGGTCGTAAATTATTGATTCCATTATTTTAATAACCAGCGATGTTAAGCTACTTAATTGGACGACAGTTGTTTCGATCAAACTTGTCGGCTTTTTTAAAAAATAGGGCGTACTGTGGCAGTTTTCCAGTCTTTGTTAGTTGTAGTTCTCCTAAATGAAACCGTTCTTCCTTTGGGGAGAGAACACATCTGCATATGAACCTTGAGTACTGAATGGTCAGAGATACTTATCGGGCCAAAATATTCCAGATTGGTTAATGAATTATCGTCTAAAGCTATAATTAAATCTAGAGTAGATGGGTTCTAGCCGGATGGATATCTAATAGGTTCAGTTACCAACTGGTTTAAATGGGAAGATAGTAACAGATCGACCAACAATTGAAAGGACGCCCCACAAACATGAGACGTATTTAAGGGTCAGACAACGTCGGGCATACTAAAGTCACCAAAGACCAACAACTTGTCGTTGTTGTCAGCTAACTCAGAAATATTTTGAAACAAAGTCCTATAGTGAATAAAGATAGATAAGGGACGTCTGTAGACACAACCCAAAAATAATTCAGCGAACTTTAAGAAAAGAGAATCAGTACCACCGGTATCAACGTGGTCAATTAGGTACATTTACTGCAGATTCAGAAAAGATATGATCACTAATGTATATGCACACACCCCCACCCCTTCGTCCAATGCGATCGCGTCTTATAATTTTATACCCATCTAAAGCAACCATACTGTCAGGTATAGCAGAATTTAACCAGGTTTCTGTCAATACGACCACAGAAGGATTGTTATTATGGATAAAGACAGTAAGATCGTCCAATGTTGGTATAAACTACAGGATTATCCATAAGAAGACAAATAGTGCTCAAGGACTAATCTATAGATATTTGGGATAGTCCGGAGGCATCAATATCTGCAGTATTTTTTACATTACGAAGCTTGTCAAGGGATATTTAATTTTACCTTAAAATTTTCTACATCTATATTTTATAGTCGAATGTTCCATAAGTGGATACAAGTGATACAGTAAGCTGTACACACCGTCAACATCAGCAGTGAACTTTTGAATTAAAGAAATAAGATTTTTCTCTCCAACGGCTTTCTCCATAGATTCTACAGTCTGGTCATAGTTAAGAGATATTGTTCAGTGTTACTAAGCAAATCTCTAGCAGGATCGAGCAGATCCGGTGTAGGCGTCAGAGTCTGAGTACAATCTGAATGACGCATTCTTTTGAAGTGTCGACTGGGGATGGCAGATCGAGGAGAGCAGACAGTTGTAGATCGTCCGGGTTACTCGGTTTATGATCTTTGTCGGAAGCATTTGTCAGTAACTTTAGGTTGGGGAGAGGTAACACTATTGGGACAACCGTTTCCACCGGGCAAACGTTATAATCAAAATGAATTATCTACCACAAGATCCACCAGGAGATGTAAAAATTCGGTTTGAAAATCAGAGGAAAACTCACCAACAGAGGATGGAAACCTCAGAGCAACCAACCACCTGCTCCGCTAGATCACTCGGAACTCCTATTTATCTAATTACAAAAAAATAAAACTTAAGTATAATTAATCAATTAATTTTAAACTTCTACAGTTTGCATTGGTAGCATGTTATCCATAACATAAGAAAGCACATACTTTTGGTCCTAAGAAAACCTCACAGTCTAAACAGCGATATTTCCACGACTTTAGTTTAATGGATATGTGAGGATACATTATTGACCAGATTTAAAAAATTCAAATTCTTGAGACCAAAATTTTTACCAAAAAGTTGTTGAAAATTGTTTCGATAGAATAATGTTTAATTTTGTTAAAACACTGTTGAATGAATTTTTTTTTGAGATGCGTTTGTTTGTATCTTTTAAGCCTTTTGGTGTATAGGCCAAGTTTCTGTAATAAAGTGTATTGTATTTGTAGTAGTATTGTGTTGCATTCATTATAATGAGTTGGCTGAAAATTATTTTTGGTCAATATCGAACGCATGCATGTAATGATATGTGGTGTTCTAACTTCTCTAAGGTATTGTGTGAGTTGACCTAGTTGTTTTCTAATGTTACTGATTCTATAATTTAATCTTGTTTCCTAATGTGGAGCAGAATAGATATGATTGCTGTTAGTATTTATTATGTCTTTGCACGTATTGGTTTGAATACAACCTAAATATGCACGCTAAATAATTGTGTGAAGTTTTTCAAAAGAGATAGATCTTGTGAAATAGTTTGGTAAAATGTAAGAGTTCATTATCTCGACAGTTGCTGGAAATTTTTTAGAATGACGTTGGCTTGAAAATGAATGTAACGCCGTCATTTACTGTTTTGATCGATGTATCTTCATTGTTACAGCATGTGTTATTATTTTCTGTTAAACATAATGAATACTTTGTTATGTTTTGTGGTTGTGAATGATTGGTTTGACAAATTTGTTATTTATTTGTTATTTAAAAGTTATGTTGTGGCACCCGCGTTTACCCATGCGAATTATCCTGTGAAATGTGCTTCTTTGGAATTTTGGTATGATACTACCTTGTATTTGGTATTACTGAACAAGGAATAAACTTTATTTGTTTATCTCGCCTCGAAATTTGATGTTAGCTTAAAAAATTATTAAATAAATGTTTATTATAAGGAATAGTCAGAGCCAACGTTGTTTGTTCTTCGATTTTTGAAATTACCAATGGAAAATGCATGAAAGAGTTAATAAACAAAGCAATTTATCAAGTCCAGAACGGCTTATCTAATTGTATAATGTACAATGTATTGGTCACGCAACAGAAGGCGAGGGAAGTATTGTTTAAACTCTATATAAATTATTATTTCAGTTTGAGTTGGCAGCGTAGAAAACCCATTAGCAACGCATTTTATAACAGAGACTTCGCGGCGATGTTAATCGTTAAAATCGCGTTAGTTTTCAGAAAAAGTCGGTCTATGAATTTTGTATAATTTATCATAAAATCTTTGTCATTGCGCATCTATTGCTGCTAAAATTCTATTCTTATTTATTAAAA